AAAATTAATTTGAGTGTTATCGTCGCGGAAACTAGTAGCTTATCGTCGATCTTTTCGATAACGATCCCGGTAGTAATCTACGTTTATAGATCCCAGTTGCCGATTGTAGGTGTTTAATTGTAAAAGCTGGTACACCTCGGTGCACGCCTTATCGCAAGCCTCGGTAGTCCCATTTTTGATAAATTGAAAAAAAGATTGTCTGTAAAGAGTATAAAATAGAGCGGTAGATCTTCAGTGCCGCATGTGGCTTGACCAAAACCGGTACGATTGTGGAAGCAAGCACTGTGACACCTTCTTCAGAATCGTACCTGGCTTCGTCGAGGTACACACTAACACGTAAGTCTGACATCCCTCCGAACGCAATTTTCATTATTTCTTCCTCAAAAACTAGCGTACGGAATTTGATGAAAATATTCAGAGACGTGGTGCTCTAGGAGTAGAATATGTAAGAATTGTTTTAAATCGTTAAGTCCACAATTAATGTTAGAAAAAATTCATGAAGTTTGGCAATTTCGAAGAAAGGATCACAATTTCTTAATATAGTTACGATTTTTTTTCTCCGGTTCCAGTGTATCGAAAATTCTGAAAAAATTCAGTATTCAATGTACTATTATATGTATGAACAATCTACGTGCGAATATTTTCACATTCATCCATCGATCATTCATATTAAAAAATAATTCGTCAAATTCTGAAACCGTGGAATAATAAATTTCAATAGTTAGTAATTATCAGATTTTATTCTCCCAATTCCGTATGAAAAATTGGCGGGGTTGTTTTATAAAAAAAGTTATATAAGCAATCGTTAGATCCATGTCTGTTAGAGTATATTATACAACGTTTTGATAAATGACTTTGGAGTTAATCTTAATGCTCGAGGATTTCGTAAATTTTGGTAAAGGCCGCTTCCAAAGTCTTGTCCCACGCCTCCGCTACTTCCTGGGTGTATTGTCGACCCAACCCTTGGCTCAGCACGTTCAACAAGATTTCCTTCAAATTCTGTAACCCATACCAACGAAGGCAAGACGATCTAACGTGTATTCGAATTACGAGAAACTATGTACTTTCGCTTTCGCTCAGCTACCTGAAACTGCTCGGTGGTCTGTCCCCGTTTCTTGTGCCTCTCGGCGAGGCCGATGAGAGTGGCTTCCATTAGTCCCGGATCGTGCAACGAGTCGATGACATCGTTCAAAGCGGCGACAATGCTCATGCAGTGCGCTTGGAACCGTTTGTTACCAGCCAGCTCGTCCAACGGCGTGTCCGCAAACGCGGGGAAGTTCTTCTGATAATCGGGATATTTCCCGAAGAACCTGGAAAACAAATTTCAAAACGGAAGGTTTCTCAGTTTTTGTTACGCGATTTAGATAAAAATAAATCGATTCTACCATTTGATAAGCACTTTTTCCCAGCGGACATCGCATTCTGTATTTTACGAGCGAGATCGTACAACGGATTCTTAGATAATGTTTATCGTAACTAACGATACTAAGAATTGCACTACTGCTGCGACTTATTACGAAATGTGTCGTAACATTTTAATTATAAATTATTATCGATGACACCGTATCAGCGTTGTTTTGTTATCTCTGCTAATTGATACGTGCGGTGTCCCGGGCATCGAGAAATAAACCGCTCATACTTATTTTTTATTTGGTCTTGTCAACAACAGTGAGGTTTGTTACGACTGTTAAATATATTTAAACAAAAATGAATTTTTAATTGGACAGCTTTTAATATAAAAAGTTTCGAATTGCATCGGACGAGTGTACAGTAGTTTCAATCGGTTCCGATGAAATATCGTCGAAGGCAGAATCGAATTAATTTGATGGACGCGTGTCTGGATAACTAGGCTCATTGCTTCATTATACTACTAGAGGAGTACGCCAGCTTCCTCTACATATATGTACATTCCCTAGGTAGGAACGTTCAGTTGAATCGGTTTCACTTACTGAAAGATTACAACTGTGCTTCTTCCTTCTCTTGTTTTTCTATCGTGTCGTTAAAGTGGTTTTTTAATTGCGGACTCACGCGGTCATCACGGCGACTCCGGAGCGAGCCTCGTCCTTCCTTATCACCGCCCATGTGTTCTGCACCAATTTTTTTTGCCTCTCTGTCAGTCCCGTCGCCGGGTCGACCCTGTCCTCCCCCGGGCCCAGCCCCAGCAGCCGCATAAACGTTCCCATCATACTTCCTTTTAATCAATCCAATTCGAATTAATCAATTTATGCAACTGGTTCATTTCGTATCGCACATTGAAATAAGAAATAAATTCTTTTCGTTCGCCCGTTCACGTTCATTTAACTCGGACGATTACGGGAGCCTCGAAACGGCAATTACATATCTCATCTTCTACAAGGTAACGAGGGACGAGTAAGCGAAATGATATAAGCTTGAATTGATAACGTTTCCTGGTACCAGTCGGAATTCGTAGATCGTGCGTAGGTCGCTCTCCTTCCAGCATCCTAAGCCGGGGTTATCAACGACTGCGATTCACGAATTCCAATGACTTCAAGTGTCACGTGCCGCCAATTCAATCGAAGGAAAGTGAAAGTATAAATTTTCGATAAAACTCAATCAAACTACAAAATTATTATTATTATTATTATTATTATTATTATTATTATTATTATTATTATTATTATTATTATTATTATTATTATTATTATTATTATTATTATTATTATTATTATTATTATTATTATTATTATTATTATTATTATTATTATTATTATTATTATTATTATTATTATTATTATTATTATAATTCTTCAAGAATTTATTTCTCATTTTAATGTGTAATATAAGAATCTGAAGTAATCCTGTAATATGCTATTCGCACGACAGTACATCTGCGTCTGTTTTCTTTTGATTCAGAATATGACAATTCGATCCGAATTAAGATTATGATAACGTCTATTAACGAATTATGAGACTGCATACGCGAAGTTCTCGAGTGGCACTTACTTGTTCGTCCTTCGGTTTACTTCGTCAGTAGACCAACTGAACGTTCCCGGCTATCCGATAAGCTATTTTAGAATTGCACCCACCCCCACCAGAACTCCAGCGGCAATCGGTGGCGGATACGTTCCATTCAGACGAATCTGCAAATCGAAATCAACAACGACAATTTACGAACTCCGAAATAATTTACGTTCAACAAAAGATCCTCATGTCTAATGTCTGTTTTATAGTCTTACCGGATTACGTTACAAATTTATTTATATACGTTATTATATATATTATAATAATATATAAATAAATTTGTAACGTAATCTGGTAATACTCCGATATAATATATATATATTATAATATATATATATATTATTTTATCGTATAGTAGTATATTATATATATATTATATATTATTTTATAGTCTTACCGTTATTACGTTACAAATTTATTTATATTATTACAATTTACTGCGGTCTATCATATGTCCTATAATAAGGAGTCGTCTGTTCCTTTCGAATCCAAGTCTTGTACGATGAACGATAAAGATTGGTGATTGATTTCGTAATAAACCACCTGACAGGTGAAAGACACCGTCGTCGTTAGGAAGTCGATGCTAATTAGGAATCCTCGCGCGTCACGATGACTGACCGTTTACATTGCTAATCGCGAGATCTATTGCATCGTAATATTAAATGAAGAGAACCTCCTGCAAATAAAAATTGCAACGTAAACACGTGTACATTCTTTGCACCTGCGATTATCTTTCCTTCCACGGGACGATAATGACAATCGTTGACTGATCATTAACCGGTAGCGTGTCTAACAATAATTCATCCTACTTGATAATTCGGGATTAGCGGAATCTGAAATGGAATTAATCCTTAATTATCCGCGATTGTTAATGTAACATTTTCATGAAAATGAATGAATATCATTAATGACATTCGCAAATTTTTAGATTTTCCCAGATCTGAAAGATCTTCGAATATTTTTGCCTCGGAATCTAACGTATGGAAAATTCGGAAAATTTTCAAAAATGCGTTAGGGTAAAGGAAGTAGTACTGGGACAAAACGAATTTTCGAACCAGTACTTGGATATAATAGATACTACTCTTCTAATAAGGTAAAGGAGGTAGTACCTGGACACTTTTGAACATAAATTTTTTATAATGTTTTCTACTACGAAATTTAAGCATAGTACATGAAAACTTATCATCTTAGCAGATAGCTGGGATCTCATAGTCATATTTAAGAAAAAAAACCTTCTTTTGTAATATATGTATTAAAATAATCGCATTAAAAAAAATTGCTGTCAACCGCAGTAGTAGGACACATTTAATCTCAACGAGTGGTGTAGTAGGACAAGTATGGAATCAGAACTGGGACAATATTATTATGACGCCTCTAAGCGAATTGAGAAACAGTTGGATTAAGAGAAAGGGTTGAAAAGTTATGAAAATACACTAAATCATTTATTGTGAAAAATATATCATACGTTTGAATGCCTTTTATACCAAATCCGAATTTATCCAGGTATTGCAGCGCGATTAATTAGGGAGGGGCTAAACCTGGACAGCCACTGCCGTCTTGTCCCACTTCTACGTATTAATTTTCAAAAGGGATTGTAAACTTGGACAGTAAATTATTAAATACATATCTATTATGTCCAAGTACTAGTTTCATAATTCGTTTTATCCCAGTACTACCTCCTTCACCTTATACGTATGTGAGAATTTTTTCGCATTTTTCTATTCATTATTTATGTTGAATTAAAATTCATTAAGTGTGCATATCAGTTTGCCAGATTTTAGATTACGATCTTCAATATTTTTTTCTGGGAATCTAATGTATAGAAAATTTTGAAAATTTCCAGAAATACATTCCTCTAAGAATAGAACATGTGAGAGTTGTTTCGATAAGATTTAAAAACTTTCAGATTTTTACCTTTGTCTTGACGTCTTGACGTATAAATTTTCGATATTTCTCTCTTTTTCTCCGAATCTAGAATACGGAATTTGATGAAAAAATTCAGAGATATACACAAGAACATATGTGTATTTTATGAAAATTTTCAATCCATTGTTCATGTTAAAAGAAAATTCATAAAAATTACAAATTTCGATGAATTGCCAGAACGGTTTCCTTTGAAAAATGATTTTCAATATCTTTAGCAAATGGATGAAAAAATTCAGGGGTGTACTTTTACACGGGTAGAATACGTGTGAATTTTATCAATTTTCCATCCGGTACTTATATTAAAATAAAACTTGTGAAAATCGCGATTTTTGAAATTTTGCCAGATCTGAAGGTCTCTTGACATTTTCAATAAGCGGTATTTAATTTCTCCGCTTCTATTGGATGAAAATTGATGAAAAAATTCAAAGATATAGTTACACAGAAGTAGTATAAGTAAGAATTTTTCCAAATCGTACCATCAATTATTTATATTAAAAGAAAAGTCGTTGAATAATTGGGTAGAAGATCGAGAGCTAGCATGGCAAACACCGAGAGCCACGTAGGGCCAGACCTACGAATCAGCACTATAAAAGAGAAACCGATAGAAGAGACCACAGAGACCATAAAAACGTTGGATCAAAAAGGAACGGAGGTCAAGAGCAAGATCTATGTGCAACTAATTTCAGCTGTCATAGGTAATTACAATTCAATTAATTATTTTCACGTCTTCCAGAAATTTCCTCTAATTTTCCCACTCGAGGTATACTCTACTAGACTAGTAGTATATTTCTAAATCGTTCTATCAATATTTAAATAAAAATTGATGAATCTTACCGGTGGATGTTGATTGCATGATTAAGTGAATTTCACGTTAATCTCCGCTGGGATGATGTTCACCTGGTCCGCGGTCTCTTTGGTGAAACTCGAGGACCCGAAATCGGATATCCATTTAACCACGGACCAAGGAGGATGGTTAGCTACGATCCTGTTAATCGGCGCCTGCTTTGGACCATCGGCGTCCCTCCTCTTGCTAGACCGTATCGGTCGTAAATGGTTTCTCTATGGCTTGTCGGTACCCACCGTGTTTTGCTGGGTACTGATCTACTTCGCCGACCGCTGGGAATGGATACTGGTCGCGAGGTTTTTCGGCGGAATACCCCTCGGGGCGATATACGCCATGGTACCCGTGTATTTAGGCGAGCTGGTGGAGACCAGGATCAGAGGGGCTGCCGGCGCGATGATGGTTCTATCCTTGAACATCGGATTCATGATCATCTTCGCCGTTGGGCCCAAGGTCGACAGAAAGGTAATCTCATCGATTTTCACCCGAACTTTAACGGTACGTTTAATCGAATTAATTGCAGACTCTGTCTCTGATCTGTTTGGTACCAACGGCGGTCTACTTGGTATCGGCACCGTGGATACCGGATTCCCCGTACTACTACTTGAAGAAGGGTAAAACAAAATGCGCCTCGTTAACGCTCGCCTTGCTGCGACGTAAGGAGGACAACACGTCGGAGATAAAAGACATGCATAAACTGATAGAGGAGGAGAAGACCGGCGGTATTAAAGAACTGTTCCGAAACCCGACGAGCAGGAAAGGTTTCCTATTACTACTCTTGTTATTAGCTGGACAACAGTTGTGCGGATCGACAGCCATTCAGGCTTATTACATCTCAATAATTGAGGATATGCATATCATCTGGTTGGACACGTATTACGCTTTATTAATAATCAACGGAATAAACGTAGTGTCTTCGATAATCTCGACTGTACTGGTAGACAAGCTAGGCAGGAAGCCGGTCTACATAGTGTCCTCCATAGGCACGAGTTTCTGCCTGTTCGCGTTAGGCGCTTATTTTCTGCTGCAACATTTTGGAATAGACGTGAAAGCTTTCTCGTTGGTACCGCTGATCGTGATTCTGATCTACACGATCCTGTTCTCGTTCGGCGTGGCTCAGATCCCGGCTATAGTGCAGTCAGAAATATTCCCGATCAACGTGAAGAGCTGGGCGTCGACCCTAGCCAACACTTACGGCTCTGTTCTAGGCATGCTTGTTACCAAGATTTTTCAGTTGATGGTCGATGGTTGGGGATATCACGTTGTATATTTAACCCTCGCCGTGATGGAGTTAATTGTTGCCATAACGGTGATCGTGATTATGCCGGAGACCAAACAAAAATCGTTCGCGGAAATCCAGGAATTGTTGAAAAATGGGAGTAACAAGAAACGAATTGTTCAATAAATCGTTCATTTTTATGTAATGTACGAGGTTTCATTTGTCTACCCCTCTGTCCAAATGGTTAGACGTTCGAATCCAGAGACGCGGTTTCCTTTGTATACTCGTACAGCAAATTCTGCAAACGTTTCTTCGTTGCATTACAACTGTCTATAGGATGTGAACTTCCTTACTATGGGAAAGTTCACACGCGCGATATCGTTTAATTTGTTAACGGCATGCAGGGTATATACCCAGTCATAGGGCTGAGTGTGCCCGAGGTAAGTCGTCCGTTGCCTTTTTCGTTCTCTCGCGATCTCGTTCACTTTCTTTCCTGTTATTAGCAAATTAGAAAACTGTAATATATAACGACCGATCGGCGGGACTTCGTTCTTTACCCAGCTGCGATTTGTCCGGGAATCGTTTCGTCATCTCCGATATTTCTATTCTGTTCACACCTTTTACTTTCTCCTCGATCGTCCTTTCAACATTGGCTCCTTTCGGATTCTTCTTACTCGCAGACTTTTTATCCCGCCGTTTGCTATCGGTAATCCCAGTAGCTACGGTACCCTCGACGAGAGCACCGTCCACATCGGGTACTTGTTTCAAGTCCGACGATTGGGTGACAGTTTTTTCCTTACCCTATGTTATTAACAATTACGATAAATTCTGCTGTCTCCTACCATGAGTCTATTTCCATCGCTTACTTGTTCATCGACCAGTATCCACGGGAACTTCTTTTTGAAATTTTCCCTCATCTGTCTTATGCTATTGCTTCCTTTCCAGGAGAAGCGGTAGCTCTCGGGAACCCTCGCTGATACAGCAGCCTCTTACAATGCGTTCAATTTCGATCGAGTTAATCTATTTATTATGCAACCAATTTAATTAATTTCATACGTTTGCCCGTACGATTGTCCGTCCCGTCGCTGTTCGAGCTGGCGGTCTTCTTCGATTCCATTCGTCGTCGGATCCTCTTGGCCGATATTCTTCTTTTAACGCGCCTTCTTCTCCTTCTTTCTCCTGTTCTTCCTCCGACTGTCCATGTAGCCGTCATGGAATTAGCCATCAAGTCGGCTTCTAAAGAGGCCCAAATCGCTCGCCGATATTCCCAGTATTGTTTCTTATGCAACCAATACTTCAGAGGGTAACCGTACATCAACCGCATCTCCGGCTCGACATTCCACGGGAAACACTGTCGGCACAATTTGGTTCTCGTCTCAATTGAATTCCTATACCGACTTCGGAGAATGAAAAATACTTTTTTCATTCCGTGACCGGAACGCAGCAGTTGGTCCTGTTTCTCGTCCTGCTCCTCCATGAACTTCAACAACGTCTCCGCCAGCATACTGAAGTACTTGTTCTGCGCGTTCTCGTGTTCCACTGTCATTATATCTGGCAGCTCGATCATTAACGCCTCCGTCAAATCGGACATGAAGTCCTGTATTTAATTAACTACAGTATTCGTACCGAAGGTGTCAACAAATTTTATACTAACGAAAACTGTCGTTCAATTGTTAATAACTTTGTTAATAATCGACTGATTTACTTTGTTCACGGCTTAAATTGGAGATCGAAGCCTCTATTTCTATTCAGCTACCATCGTGAATTTACCTAAATTCATTGTTAATAAGAGAAAATCAATTAAGAAAATAAATGTCCCAATAGAAAATATTGTTCAATTTCAATCGTCATAACGTCGTTAATAATGAACCGATTTACTTAGTTCGCAGCTAAAATTCAAGCTTCGAGCTTTTGCTTGAATTTAGATCCTCTCGTAATTTTACGTAAATCCAGTATTAACAAGTGAAAATCGATCTTGAAGAAAACCTTATCAAATCCTAAAGATCGAGCCCCGATAAAAAACGTATTAAAAATGCAGTTCTTCATAACTTTGTTAATAAGATTTTTCAGCGAAAACCTATCTTTCAACAACTCCAGTGTAAGTGACGTTAAATTCAGAAACGTAACGACGGTTTATCGGGTGAGTCATCTCGATTAGATCGAAACAATTCGTTTAAATATTCGTCGAATAGAAATAACAATTATTAACATACGTTGAGGTCCTGGAGAGTGAGGCCCATGTCCTTGTGAATCATCGCTATGTACCCGATTAAATAAACCCGTTTAGAAGGTTTGTCGTGATAATCGGCGAACAGAGTGCACAGCGTGTCGCAAACCGATGTAAACTTCTTCTTAATCTTCGCCTCCCGAACGAACTCCGGTATCGATTCGTCCTCAAAGTATTTCATATACTGCGGGTGGTTCCGAAAGAGCCTAACAAACCGCCCAATAATCGTTCATTCCACTAATCAACGAGTTAATAGAGTAAACTGATCCCGACCGATTCGGCGGCCGTGAGCATTCGTTTTGATTCTCAATCGATTTACACGGTGCACATGGCGAATCCGTAGTAAGTCCTGTTCTCCTGTACCCTCTTCCAAATCTTCTTCAGCTTCTTCACGTCACTCTCATCCTTCTTCGACTCGCTTGCTTTCTTCGCCTGGGAATCATCGCTCCTCTTTGGCTTTATTCGCGGGAATGTTTGAATCTGAATGATTCCCATTCCTGTTTATTACCGATAAAACTTCTATACTTCGTTAACTGTCAATTCACGATCCACGCTCTGTCGACTGTCACGTCAAAGTATACCTAATAGGTATAGGTCAGTAATCTATATCATTGGTATAGGCAGGGATGCCAGAATGTGTATATGATTTCTCCTCTTCCCGAGCTGTTCCCCACTACTTTTTTTTGCTCCCACTTACGTTACCCATGATCATTGGGGACATATCTAATAATGCCATATCACAGCCTTCTTTAAGAAGGCTGTGGCCATATGTAAGTGGGGAGAGCACATTGAGCATACAGCAGCATATAGTAGTGGGGAGAGCTCGGGAAGAGGAGAAATCCTACATTCTGACATCCCTGCCTGTACGTCACTCACCCTTACGTGTCCTCACGACACGACCCTCACGTCACCAGCTGACCAGCATTCGCCCAATACTGCCAACGTGCCAATCGATTCTGATTCCATTAACAAAATCGAAAACGACTGTATGCAATAAACATCGGACTCACCGGGAAAACATAGACTCTCTCGAGCAGGGATCTCGTAATTTTTCGCAGACGGCTCGCTTCCCCTGTTTTTCGCCCGTATTTCGATCCCCACTACTATTCCCCTCATGCGTGCTCATGCGCGTTCGCGAAGCTCTCCGTGAAAATCACTGCATACCCCTACCAACTATTGGTCCCCACCATGGTCGCATCGTCCCCATTTTCCGGCCGAGCGAAAAATTACGAGATCCCTGCTCTCGAGAAAGGAGAGACGCGAAAAAGGAGACAAATCATTGCGCAGCTTTTGCACTTCTCTCACTTCTTTTTCAAGCATGAAGTATAAAACTTATAGTATTTGAACATAACATAAATGTGTACATTGAACGCGGAACAGCCTAAGAGGAGTGAAGAGGAGTTCTTCAAGACTCCTCCTTTTATATAGAAAAGCGTTGTGAAATCACTAATAGCAGTAGCAGTGAGTAGCAGTAGCAGAGTAGAAGAGTATGAAAGTCTTTAAACACTTTTCTATTGAAAAACGCTTTCGATAAAAATTGTAGGACAATTGCATAGGACCTTATTTGTAACTGTTAGCTAAACATTCAGACATGAATTTTAAACATTTTTTCTTCAGTTCTAGCGGATGGAATTTGACGAAAAAATTCAAACGTACACTTCTATACTAGTAGAACACGTATGAATGTTTTCAAAATTTTCTATACGTTACTTATATTAAACAAAAATTCATGGAAACTGCAAAATACGGAGAGTTGCCAGAATCAAAAGGATATCTCTTGATATATGATTTTCAGTATTTTTAATATTTAATTTCTCTGGTTCTAGCGGATGGAATTTAATAAAAAAATTTAGGCATGTACTTCTATGCTAGTATAACATGCGTAATTTTTTTAAATCTTCAATCTGTTACTTAGGTTAAAAAAAATTGTGAAAAGCGCAATTTTTTAAATTTCGTCAGATCTTAGGGTCTCTTGATATACGATTTTCAGGATTTAATTCCACTGGACCTAGCGAGTGGAAATCGATGAAAAAAATTTGAAACATACTACTATACGAGTAGTACATGAGTGAATATTTCCCAAACAATCCATCCAATATTTATTGAAATAAAAATTCGTAAAATCTGTGAATTTTGTAGAATTCTGTTCTCTAAAGAGGTCTATTTCCCTTTGAGATGTGGGAATTGCACTGGACACTGTCCAAGTCAAGGGTAACTATAACAACACGTTCCAATCCCCTTAAAACTATTCTTTCATTAATTAAATTCAAAGAAATATACATTAATTTACAAAAAAGACATCTCTTAACTAAGCTATCTTATTTAAAAAATTAACCGATTCAGAAATATCAGTATATTTATTTTCTTAGGATCAGAAGAAAGAAATAAAGAAAGAAAGAAAGAAGTAAGGAAATAGAATCATATTCCGTGGTCGCTTCCGGGATGTCAAGTTAAACAAGCAAACGAAGGACCACTTCGTAAACCGATGCTAAAACAATAAATCCCTGCGACCTTCCCTTCTACGAATATAAGCTCGCTTTGCTTATAAATAAAACAAAGATTACTACTTTATTCATTAAAAAATAATTCCTCAGGACTAGTCATCCACGGTTCATTTAAAAATTACCAAAAATCGTCCACGTCGACCATCAATCTCTCGTATAAAATTCAATGTTCAAAAATAAATAAGTCATACCGTACGTAGATAGATTGAAACGATTGTGAGGCCATGTCGAACCTCCCTTTAACCCTGGACCTACCGCCTTTTTTTTATACATTCATTTTTCCATTCAAAACCAGTAGATGTGACTGGTTTAGTAGTTCTACTGTTAATAAATTCTTATTTAATATCACCTATACATGTGCCACTTGCTTGTCCAACGAAACTAGAAGCTCCCTTCCATTAATTCTTTTGAATCTTAAATGAAATTAGCTAGTTGACCTCTTATGTTAATTCGAACACACAAATCCTTAAATCGGAGCATTCGTCGAGTTTCTACAGTTTATATTATTATTATTATTATTATTATTATTATCCATTAATGAATGTCTGGTGTAACGATTCAGGGAAGCTCCAAGCACGATCATCGTTTCGAATTATTAGAAATAGGAGAGTTGGGGCTCGTGCCGGAGGGACACCGGCTGATGAAAACACTGCAGCTCCGTTTGTTGCTGGCTGAGGTACTGCTGATTCGAATTCGACGACGATATCCCGCCGCAACTGTTGCTGCTCGTAGCGTTGCCCGGCTGCAACGCGAACGGCCAGGACTGTTAACAATATAATATAATTAATTATATTTATATTATAATTAATTATAATTATTGATTTATGCAAAATTCTTAGAAAAGATAAAAAATAGTAGAGAGTTAGAACTTTAATTTAGAATGCGGAAAAAGTAAATCGGTTCATTTTTAACGATGTTATTAACACTCAATCATTTTAATTTACACCGATTCGAATCATCCCGAATCTTTAATGGGAAGAGTACCAGCGAGCGGAGATTGGTGAACAAACAAAGGTCGAAGTGAACGCGATAAATATAGTCCGGAAACAAAGTCGAGACAGTAAAGCGTGATCCGATCCACCTGGACACTGCGTACAACTCTGACGTTCAGCCCCGATCGGATCCACCTGCTGTTACCGCTTTTATCTTCTCCGGTCGCAATCAACGAAAATACCGAGGAATTTCAAAACAAGAAAGAAAAATGGGAATTGTTTATGAACGATCGAAAATTTTGAAGAACTATCGAATTTAAACTATTCTTGAAACACGAATATCTGCCATTTTCGCGACTTTTTTCCCCGAAACTTAATAAAAATGTTCAGAGAAGTAGTACTCTAGGAATAGTATATGTGGGAATTTTTCCAAATCGATGGATTGATTATTTTTACTTACTTTATTAAAAAAACATTCATGAAACTCGAAAATTTTGCGGTTTGATTGACAAATCTGAAAGATCCTTTGACTTACGATTTTTAATATTTTTGGTACAGGTAACCCTCCTACAACACGGTAGATAGGTTCCTAGAAAATGCCGTGT